TGGACTCGTTCAAACTGATTAAATCAGGGTGAACGCAGAAGCGAAAACGTGAAGCTGTGCGGTTCATCTCAAGGTGGGGGAACCTTTTTCCTCTCAGCTGCCAAAATAAATAAAATGTATGATAAAATATGATGCAACGATGGCACATATGTTTATCATTTATACGTTTCTGAGCATGTTTGGGCTGAACGGTTTGGCGCTTTTTATAAATGGATCAAATGCTCTCACAGGGCCGTATGAGGTCCACAGGCCACGGGTTCGTAAGCCCTCTCTAAATGGAGGCGGCTGCAAAAAGGTGGTGTTGAACTTTGATAAGAGTGTGGACACGTAGATCGATGCCTCGCGGTAGAGCGAGGGAGTGAGTGAGAGCGAGAGAGCGAGCGAGAGGGAGTGAGAGAGAGCGATGGCCGCCCTCCCTCCACCTGGTCCCACTCATCTGGAGGCCGTTAATCCCTCCAAACACACGCCAGACGCCCCACGCCTCAGCGCTGGCACAAAGCCCGGCTCTGATTCGCCGACTGTGTGTACGTGCGTGCATTTGCGTGTATGTGCTGAACACACACTTTGCTCTCGCCGCGTGTGCTTATCCAGCTCTCTCGCCGCGTGTGTGTGTGCGTGCACGCGCACGCACCAGCAAAACTGTGTGTGGTTCTTGTTCCTGGCAGCCGTCTGCAGCCCTGCTCTGAACTGAGCCAGCTTTAACCCAGCAGAGACAGTCGCTCCCTCCCCCGTGGTGAAGCTGCTGGCCCCTGACCATTAGCCCCCCTCTTCCCCACCCACCCCTGCTCCACCACTCCACACTCCCCTAACACGTCCTCTCTTCCCTCCTCCTCCTCCTCTTTTACTGCCGTTTATCCATTCGCCGCTCTTGTCTCCAAGGGCAATTGTTTGCCTCGTTGCCTGTCCCTCTGGGCTCCGGCTGGTGAGTCACATGCTCCTCTCCTCTCTCCATAGATTATTTTGCTGACCTTCAGGGCCGCGCAGATGACGACCCCGGAGTTTATTGGGAATTCTACGGCAGCGCTGTATGTGGTGAGTTCTGATCACAACGATCCCTTTCAGATGCCTATAGAAGACCATTTTTTCACGCTTTTTCTAATGTCGCTGTTTCGCACTGACGCGGGAATTGGGGAGGCCGATCCAACAATTTTCTGCCTTGGGAACTAATATGAGGGCGGTAACAGAAGCCCCTTTCACACTGCCTATGAAATGCTGGTGTTTATCTGTTGAGGTTCTATATAGACAGCAAACACACCAATGTGGTGGACCAAATCGACCCAAAGGTTTTCTGTTTTTGGAGGCAGGATCAAAGGTGTAACATAAATCATGGACGCTGCCTTCAAAGGCGACATCATTCAGTTGTGTTGCTTTTCTGTCTACAATGTTCCCCCGTATTTTCCTGAGTCCCTAGTCACAAATTCACATATTTGCATTTTTTTTCTTAATCCATCCTCCCTGAGTGATTTAAAAAAAAAAAACATTGCCTCTTCACTGCTTTTGTGCTCTTTTTGAAAAATGCCACAAGTTGCCACAAAATGGCGGCAAAACCTTGTCTAATAATAATGTACTGATTTGGTGCCATCTTGTGGCAGCTTGATGTCAGGGAACTTGGGCCTGGACTAGACAGGCCTCAGTCATGTCTAATAAAAAAGTTAGGAATGAGCGAGTACCAATACCAGGTATCGGTCTCGAGCCTACGCTGGCCTTATTTTGAGGTATCGGGTACTCGTGGAGGCTGCCAATACCAGCCACAGGTACTGAAGGCAAAAAAATCTGAAATTGATTGACCTCTTCTGCAATAGCTGGCGCGTACTGTGGCAGCTTGACGAAAATCATCAGCTGTGTCACAAAGAAAGGTTTTGTTTTCACGAATTTTGATCATAGTTCATATGAAATTTTATTTGTCAAACGTGCTAGAGATATGAGTACTCTGTATCGGAGAGTACTCAAGAGTGATTACTTGTCCTGGTATCAGTCTGAAAAAAGTGATATGAATATCAAAAAAAAAAAAAGAGTAGTGCTTTGGTGCCATCTTGTGAGATTTTTGGGTAATTATAAGTCAACCTGACAAGTTTCCATCTTCGGCAGTGGTATCACAGGTGTAACTGAAGACCCTGTCCCACTGCCTGTAAAAGTCAGCGTGATTCAGACACTTTGTATGGAAGAGTATGTTCCAAGACGACAGCTCACGTTCATTTTGCGCCTTTCAGAGTCTGCCGAGGAGGGCGGAGCCTACGACATCCTGGCTGATCCGCCGGGTCCTGACGACAACGATGAGGACGACAAGAGGGAGGTGTTTGAGTTTGAGTTCTCCGACCGGCCCCTGCTGCCCTGCTACAACATCCAGGTGTCCGTCTCTCAGGGGTGAGCGTCCCGCCATTCCTAAGTGTTGGGAATAATGCAGTACTTTTTGCCGTCACACAGAAGCACAATTTGGCGCGCACGATACAATGCACTTTTACCTCATCGTGAGAAGATGTCTTTTTTTTTTTTGGGACATCTTCACTATTTGACTATCTGCACAAAAGTTTCCAATCAGAAATTTATAACAGTTGGCACACATTGTTTGCGCTGTGACACGAATACCTGTTCGAGTTGCGACTTTCTCCACAAGTAATACGGCCACTGGTCAGCTGATGAGACACTGTTCATGCAGACATTGGGCCGTCGATCATTATACGCAGCACTTGGATTGGTTGTGATGTCACCCTGATTGTGTTTATCATTACACGCATAACCAGTGATTAGCCTCCAAGGTTGTTTAAGAAGAGTGAAAGTGTAAAGTTTTTCACAATGGACTTTTTAATGTTATTTTTACCTGTGAGTATTAAGGAGTAGTTTGTTTGTTAGACACAAGTTGTTATTTCTCATCCGTGATAAATGTTCTCTTTCTTACCTCCCTCTCAGGCCTAGGAACTGGCTACTCTTGTCCGATGTGCTCCGCCGTTTGCGCATGTCGGCCCGCGGCTTCAGGCAGGCCTTCCCCCACATGGAGGTGGTGACGGTATCCGAGGCCGAGTTCTACCGGCAGGCCTCACTGTCGCAGCTCTTCTCCTGCCCCGAGGAGCTGGAGGGCTTCCAGCCGGACAGCAAGGAATTGCTGGACCTGGTGGAGGACAGCGCTGAATTGGCTGCCCTACTGGGCTCCACGCTGGAGTGCCTGGATGACCGCTGGGAACAGGCCAGGGACAAACTGAAGGACAGGATCAAGGCGGCCGGGCAGGTGGGCCTTATCTTTAACCCGGCTCACAACAAGCACTGACCTTCTTCACCCTCTCGGGCTGTGGTTGGCTTTCCGGTCCATCGGGAGTTGATATCCTGCCTGGAGTTCCCCACCCGGCACTGTACATAGACTGTTGTGGACCTGCTAGCTGACCCGGCCCGTGTTAGCTTAGCCATACGTTTGACTTTCAATAACTGATGGTTGTATTTTTTATAAATTAATATATGTACAAATAGATATAAATAAATATATGTATGTACATATACATATGTGTGTGTGTGTGTCTGTGTGTGTGTGTGTGTGTGTGTGTGTGTGAGTGTACATAATTGTTTTTTTCTTCTTTCGGATAACCAGACGCCGCGTGAGCGCAGCACATTGTGCATGTGTGCTATTGAATGTGCTATTTGAGTTCACAGGGAGCACATGATGTACAATTCTTTTTGTTGTATCTTTTTTTTCATTTTGTTATGTTCAAATTGTGCTTCCTGTCCAGTCTGTAATTTAACACACAAAGCTACAGCGTTGATTGTATAATAAAGTTCTATTGTAATACTGATCTTCACCCTTTGGCAAAGAGCTTGTGTATATATCTAACAGTGAGGCTACTGCAGTAAATCAAACTTTTTGGGTGTTCATTTTGTTTTGTTTTAACTTTGTAATTAAAATATCTCCTAATTTGTATTTATATTTTACAAAAAGAAGTTGCTTTAAAAAAAATAAATATCCAAACTGCAAGATGAAATACGCGTGCTGGTCCTTGAATTGTGAGGTTACGTTGAGCGTTTGAGGTACTAAATGGAACTAAATGAATTGGGTGTCAATGTCAAATTAAACCGTTTAGCCAAATTGTCCGCGACGACACAATCCTACATTGCCATCTTTAGGAATACATTTGTATTGTCGCGAGCTACACTTTGTATTTGCACGGACCAGCCGACAACAAGCAATTTAGTGCAGACCTACAGCGCCACCAAATGTCGTAATTGGTAATTACACGATACAAATACACTCGAGTGGACCACTGTATTGTATTTGTACTGTTGCTAGCATGTCAAAAACTCCCATGAATACATGAAATGGAATTAGTTATATTGTCTATCATCCTAGTTAATATATTCATTTTAAATTACAAATCGAACGAAGTGAACAAATGAAATGACTGTCTCGACCGTTGCATTCACATGTTCCAAGGATAATTTTACATTTCACATTTTCAAGGGACTTAACTCATCCCACAGGGCTGACATTACTAACTTGTTCCAGAAGCAGTGTACAATGTAATGCAAGTGCTTTTCACAAAAAGCATGAAGTGAAAACCGCAACGTCGTGTAAGTGTTATTGCACCTTAAGTTTTACAGCACGAAAATATAGCACATAAGTGACTTCGGTGTCTGTGATGCTGTCGTCAAAATATCCCAAGACCAGTATTTTATAGTTCAGTCGTCTCCTGCCTTTTTGGAACTGATAGCTACTTCTTGGCTACTGATTAACGTGAAGCGCTTACCAGTTTGATCCATACTTCTAACTTAAATTATTTCAAATTTTCTTCAATCGTTAGCTGTTAATTAAATAATTATTAGGGCTGCGCGATATGACTGAAAAGTGTATCACGACACAAATATTAAATATTGGTCGATATAGATATATAAAACAGATAAAATACAGTAAACTGGAGAACTCGGCCAACAGTACAGTATCTTAATTGCGTCCCTTGTCGAAAGATACTGTTGGTGCGCATGCGTCTTTTGAATTTCAGTACCACGTGATCGGGTGTGACGTGTGGGATCATGTGATCTCTGCTGGAAGGAAGCACAGAGACGGGGACAGAATATGTCGCGGATTACCTGTCTGGGGATGGAGGCTTTGCCCTTCGCCGTGTTCGCCCTCCTTTTCCTCTGCACGACTGGTATTAGTTATAAAATTACAGACGCAATCGGTTATTTTAAACTGATATGTTCTTACTTTGGTGTGTAGCATTACCGAATCGTGGTGTCAAAGTGTTAGCAGATCAGTCAGCTAACCAGCTAGGCATGATAGCGTCGTCGATATGTTCATTCATTTTCAATTCCGATTGATGTGAAGCGTCAACGCGTTTTTCCCCCCCATTTTCTATTTTGTATACATCTATTTTACCTGGCAGGTTTTTATTCGCTTCATCAGCTACTAAACGTTGCTAATGGGGAACATTGAATTATGACAAAAAGCGTATAAGCGTAGTCAAAATGTATTTTTGTCAACCCCTCTAAAGTGCGACTCGTCGTTGTTTTCATAGGCCAAAATGCACCCAGGATAAGATGTTTATTTGTGCTCTACAGTAGTTGCTATATGTATTGTCAGTCATGTGACAGGTCACGGACGGAACAGGGAAGTTCCTCGCGGTCTTTCCGTCACGAGTTTTTGGCTGGTGTACTTACAAACAATGCAAAATAATGATGAATTTTGATTTGACCTTTGCTAGATATTTCATATTAAGCCATTTTGTTTCAAAGGAGACATGCATTTTCTTCACAAATTAAAACAGTTCCCAATTGCATTAATACACCAAGGATCAAGAATTATATCTCACTTCACGCACCCTCTTACTTGTCTTGAAATGAGCCTGTTTTAAGAAGTATAATAAATAAGAAAATAAATAGCGCTTTCACTTGTGAATTCAGCACTTCACTCTTTGTATGTAGCTTGTGATAGTGTTTCAGGCAGTTTTGTGTCATTGTCACCTGAAAATGGTTCTGCATCTATCCCCAGCCAAGGAGATCATGCGGAGAAACTTAATGTAGGACGGGTATTTAAATTAGGCCCACAGTTTATTAAACACTCCATTTATCCAACTATTTGTGGTCAAACAATTAAAAAGTCAATTTTCTGTGTGCCCTTTAAAATTACGCATTACATGATCTTTTCTTACATTTAGTGACTTTTATTACATGCTTTATTTCTTCTCTGTCGTGCAGATGTCCGTGGGGATAGTTTGACAGTGCTGCAAGCTCCAGAGTTTGTCTCCTTCCAGAAAGGAAAGTGGCCCATCTCCGGCGAAAAGATTCCCGACCTGGTGGCCCTAACCATGGGCTTCTCTGTTCAAGAGGTACTTCAACCAGTCGAAGATCTGCCACCATTTTAAAACCTTAAATGACTCTACGCTACAATGTTTTAAGAAATATGCTAACTCCTGATATTGGGACCCCGAACCTCATGGCTGTGACTCAGCCGTATTTAAATAAGTATGTCACCATGCTACTTGAAGTGTAAACATATAAAATAACGTTAAATCAACCCCCAATGTGATGTAAAATGCCGGTCAATCAGTACTCTAGTAGTAAAACTGCTAAACATGGTTGAGCAGAGATACTCATGTCTTAATAAGGTTGTATACTGCATTTTCCATAGGCATTGCTCAATGAGCCTTTTGGTAACAGTGTCCCCAATGTGATGTAAAATGCCGGTCAATCAGTACTCCAGTAGTAAAACTACTAAACATGGTTAAGCAGAGACTCATGTCTTAATAAGAACAACACTCCTCCGCTGACTGCTGGTCATTATCTCCAACTGTCATGATACTGAAGCACTTAGAAAGGTTGTGTACTGCATTTTCCATAGGCATTGCTAAATGAGCCTTTTGGTAACAGTGTGTCTTAAATCCATCCAGGATCTTTCTTGGCCCGGCTTGGAGGCTGGTCCCCTATTCCAGCGTCCCCGCGCGAATGTTCTGGTAGTGGTCCGAGGAGCCGATGACCTTGACTTTCCTCAGAGTGTGGCCTCCTATCCCTTGGAGAATGTGAGTCGTCCTGGACCTGGATTTAAAAAAAATGGACCTCTGATAGGTTGTAGTGAGGTTTTCCTTATTTTTTTCCCCAGCCAGTGCCCTTCACTCTGGATAGTGTCGCAGAGACGGTGCACTCCCTGTTCGCAGAGGACACACCTGTTGTGCTGCAGCTCGCACCAAGTGAAGAGGTAAAAAAATAGTCATAAGACCATCAAACTTCAACTTGGACTTTAAGCTAATGTTGTTGTTCAACAATTTTTGGGAATCTTCAGCTCAGTGAGCGTCCTGAGCAGGAATGGGCAACACAAACATTGAAAGGGGCCACAATTGTTTCAGCACTACTAGGTAGCCACATCGGACTACAAATTTCCAAACCAGATGCCATTTTAAATCAGGACAAAATATGTACATGTTTGTTTTTTGTTGAACCATTGTACATAACAGTACTGTATCTTCATATTTTAATGCTCAAATGTATATAAAATATTCCCGCCACTATAAAGGTTTTGAAGCAAACAAAAGTTATTAGTATTTATTTTTCGCCCCGTGCAACAGGCTCTCCTGCACAAAAATTCCTATTCAAAGATGGCACAAAACTGCTGAGCAGCAAAACATGTTGGTGAGCATCCAAGACAAAAAATAATTTTTCACTTACATGTTACATTTCCTGTCCTGTGGTTGCCTTCAAAGTTTTAACATCACTGGTATCCTTCTGTGGTGGCATAACAATGATGACGATGATGTAATTCCCAATCGGGATGTATATGCTTTGCTGCCAAAAAAAAAAAAGAAAAAAGGATCCTTTTTATTATTCTATTCTTTTGTGTCTTCCATTAGAGGCTGTACATGCTGGGCAAAGCCAACGCCGTGTTTGAGGATCTGCCGGTTACCTTGCAGCAGATCCGAGGCCGCCTGTTCCAAGATGGCTCCGTGCTGGCCACCCTGCCACTCAAGTCCCTCAGCAGGAATGCAGAGGTCACTGACATTATCATGACTGTTCGACTAAAATCATACCCACTGTACATTTTGTCTAACCTTGCACCTGTCAATGTCTGCAGGCTGATTTGCTGTTCCTCTCTGAGATCCAAGTTCTGTATGATATCACAGCTCTAGTAAGTTGTCACTCCTGCACTACATTTCCCACTATGTTTTTATTCCTTTGCAAGGATGAGTTTTAATTGAATTTTAACAACTTTGCAAGAATGACTTTTAATTTGTCATGGCTCGAGGAGCCTCACACTATCATCTGCGCGGATGTATGCTCAAATATCAGAGACAGGTCAATCAAAGTAAACCCTTTTCTTGTACTTGGCCATCAAATCACAGTCTTTGTGGTAGGGGGAAAAAAATTCAAACCACAATAATATTGCAAATGCCATTAATCGTTCAGACCTATTTTTTTCTCCTAACATTCCTCTGTCTTCATGATGTGACTTTGTTACAGCTGCAGAGACACAGGCATCTGGCCAAGGACCACTCTCCAGACGTTTACTCCCTGGAGCTGTCGGGCCTGGAGGAACTGAGCCGTGTCTACGGACAAGACTCTCCTCAGCATCGCGATGCTATCGCTCTTCTCTCCTCCGTCCTGCAGAAGGTAAAATTTTTTCTCCTAACATTCCTCTGTCTTCATGATGTGACTTTGTTACAGCTGCAGAGACACAGGCATCTGGCCAAGGACCACTCTCCAGACGTTTACTCCCTGGAGCTGTCGGGCCTGGAGGAACTGAGCCGTGTCTACGGACAAGACTCTCCTCAGCATCGCGATGCTATCGCTCTTCTCTCCTCCGTCCTGCAGAAGGTAAAGAAGCGAAGGGAGGACACTTCCAAATCATTGCTTCAGACTGCATCACAATTTTTGCATTCCCCCGTTTTGTAGTTTGGAGAGGACGTGTACAATCTTTATGGCAACAGTGCCGTGGTGGAGGTCGTGACAGTGAAAAACTTTGAGGCTCCTCTCACCAGGAAATCCCGCTCCATTTTGGAATCGAAACAGATCGTAAGTCCATATTGTGTGCGGAACACATTTATCTCCTAGGCAGAAAGTGCCAGGCGTCTGTTACGGGTAAGGCATTTATTGAGGAAGGGGCATTTATTTGTTCAAATGCATTTTTAGACTTGGACTTAACGCAGTATTAGTATAATTTAAAACAAGTTTACGTTGAAAAGCCTCCACAAATAAAGAATAAAAAAAAAACTTCATAAGGACTTATCAAGAAGGCGGCTATAATTTGTATCAATTTATTCATTTATTTTTTTTTACATTTTTGTTTCCGCAAATACTATAAGTAATGGTACTTAAAAGATGCATAATGTACTACAGTTACAAAGTTAAAAAGTAATTGTTTTTTGCAGAGCAACCCGGGAAGCCCGTACAACTTGGCTTACAAGTACAACTTCAACTATGCCGTGGTATTCAACATTGTACTGTGGCTGATGATTGTGCTGGCGCTTGCAGTAATTGCCGTCAGTTACAACCTATGGAACATGGACCCGGGCTATGACAGCATCATCTACAGGATGACCAACCAGAAGATCAGGATGGATTGAAAACCTGACCCTCGATGACTCCACTCATCCATCCCCTTGGATCTCGCTAGTGATTGTTTTGTGCTTTGTGTTTGTGTAATTAAACAGTGAGTCAGCAATTGGTTTACAATGCTGCTGTGGTAGTTGAAAGCGAATATCAACATTACAACACATCATTCCTCATAGGTAAAGCGTCTCACTGAGTTTTTGTAATGTGTGGTCATGTTTTGAAAGAATGCATGAATTTGTTGTGAAAATGTGTTAAGTTAAATATGTGTATATATTGAAAATACAAATGCAACTCTATGACAAAATGATGTTTTCAATGTGAAAAGATTATTGTTTGAAAATGTGTTTTCTGCTTGAAATAATACCGTGACTGTTGTAAGCATTGTGCAAAGAAAGTTAACCGTAAAACACACTTGCAAAATAATGAATAAATTATGGATCAGACAATGTTTAATTTTGTGTTTTAACGATACTGACACCATTCCTCTCATCGCGTTTATGTGTAGACTACAGGAGGTCCTCGGTTTATGGTGGTCTTTCACTAATCTGCGCTAACAGAAGCAATGTCACAAATATAGTTGATATTTCGATGAAAAGCACTTTCAAACCATAACTATAAAACAAATGAAAACCGATAATTACGACAGTAACGGGCCTTCGTGTGTCACATAAATCTTTAGCCAATGCACAAACTCATTGCACGCCGTAATTAGGTTACATTCACACCTACGTTGTTCGGTTCACTTTAAACGGACCAGGACTCACGCTTGTCCGGACTTTTTACTCAGCCACAAAAGCGACTCCTGTTGTGGATCAAACAACCGGACGTAGACCCAAATTTTGAGGTGGTCTCGGTGCGCTCCGCAACAGGTCTGAATACAAACCATTGCCGATCTGCACCACATAAAGCAATACTACCGACTTTTGGGGCTCAGTCCACCGTAGCCCGGCATTGAAGGACATACAGTATTAGCCCGAAGTGAATACGTGATCCTTCGTCTTTTGATTCGCCGCGCCGCCGCCAACATGAGGGTCAAAGCATGCAGAGCACAAGCTCCTGTGCGTTACTGCACACATTCGCCGAGTCCGCTCCAAAATTTAGAAAAATAGCGTCGCAAAACGTGTATTGAATGAATATAGTTCCAGAGCAAAAAGTACAGTAAAAACAATGTTAAACGAAACTAAACAAACAGGCACCATACTACAATGGGCGTTTATAAGATTCATACGTCAAAATGTATTATCACGACGAAATAAATAACGAGCTGCTAGCTCTCAATTGATGGCCATTTCTCGGGTCACTCAGTTACGTTTACATAGCGTCATCTCTGAGCCAATTAGAGTGTAACTGGCACCTGAAGTCCCGCCTTTATTGTTTTCCAGCGTCCTTAATTGGTTGTGAGTTTGTGCAACATTTCCGGGAGTGCTGTTCGTTTACTCTTCGCGAAGGGCGGAAAAAACTCAAACAGAGCTAATACGTAGAAGCTGCAAACATGGTCTGACTGATTATAAAAGGTACATTCGAGTTGTTTTAATCATGTGTCTTCAGTTTAGCCTACCATTTAACGACGTAGTGTTGTGAACAAGCCAATCTACGTCTCGACGTACATATCCATTCATCGTTGTTTTTTTAACGCTCATGATGTGTTTGACAGTCTAATTAATATTGTACACACTATGATACTAGTGTATAAGTTATGATTTTATATTGTCCATCAATGTTGTTTTCAATGTGACCTAGGAAGTTGTCACACGATTCTTACTTAATTAGAAACTAAGACTTGTCACTTAAAGGTCGGGTACGACTCTGGTGTAACAAAAACACGTGTCCTTAATATGTGAAATATAATAGTACTACGACAAATAATAGTGTTTTAAATGACAGCGAGCGTATACGCCGTCAGGAAGATCCGGGCGGCCATTGCTAAGAGAACGCAAGTGGAAGAGCCCATTGTGATGCCATGTAGTGCTATCGGTAAGATGTGCACAGTCATCTATCTATCTATCTATCTATCTATCTATCTATCTATCTATCTATTGCTCAAATTGTAATTTTACGATGATAATTTGCCAATTTTATGACAAATTCGATGGCCATATCAAATATGGCGACGCGCTGATGTGTTCCATCGAATAGGCCACTTGCGTCAAAAGCAAAATTGTTAGAGAATAACTGATTGTGTTTGACTTTGGAGGATCAACTCGTTTGCCATGAAACATGTCCATCATACTCAAAATGAAGGTGTTTGAGTTTCTATTTCCTTCTGTTCTACTCAGCTGAAAAGAGAGCTGCGGGAGCGCTCAGAGAGCCACCGGATGCCATAATGACATCTGAAAATGATGAGGCCATCAGCGGGGAAGTGGCCTCCAGAACACCTTTGACTGTGCAGAAATATGACTCTTGACGTTAAAACGCAAATTACACTGGTCATTCATAAGTAGCCTCAATATGGATGGATGGATGGAGTGATGCATAATAAGTTGCTGCTAAAAACAATTTTATGCTAATATGGCATATTGTTAAGTGAAAATTTTATAATGACCACACTGTGCTCCTCTTAAAACGTTTATTTGAATCCTGTTGTAAAATGTTGATAATGTCTGCTGCAGCGTATGAAGACTCAACTCACAAACCTCTTCAAAGAGGCTGAGCAGGTCTGATGTGTTTTGCAATGATAATATCAATAAATGCTTGAAATTAAGTCGCTGTATCATTGCATGATGTACAGCAAAAATGCAGGGACTTTTTCAGCATGTGAGCTCCTTTGGTCGACGAACGCAAAACTGTGGCAGGGTTTCTACTTTCTGGACCTGGATTTGCCACCTCGATCACATGTCAATTTTCCATAGGGAAAGAATTATCGATTGGGTAACCAGAGCCAAAATGGACACTACATTGCTCCTCAAAGTCAACAGTCAAACTATTTCTCCCAGAAAATTTGTGAATAAATATCATTAAATATGAGATTAAAGTGCAGTGTTACCTTGATTGACAAGTTTTATTTTGTTCTACATGTATCTTAATTTACTTGTCTAGTCCAGTCAAAAATATAAAGTCAGTTTCTTTACCGCAGACATTTGAGTTTCAGATCAAATGATGAATATGAGACAAAAGCTGGGGATTTTAGCTTTTATTTAATGGTATTTACATTTCAATATGTTAAACAACTCAGGAGAGAGCACCTTTTGTTCTTCAAGAGAGCAAAAATATTGGAACGGACATTATTTTAAAATATCAAATAAAATGCTGGGTGGGCTTAACTGGAACTACGCATATTTCTGATGGGGCTATAGCCCTGGTATAGCTCGCTTTCAAGATATTGACAATATAAATGTTTTCAGAAAATGTACAATTTTCAATTTTAGTCCATCCTTTTCGTCATTCTTAATCTTTTTCTGTTGGGAAATTGTGAAGAATGAACGGAGGTTTACGATGCTTTGCAATGATGGGTTTTTTTTCCACAGCGGTTAAACGTGGCACAGAGTGCACCTGTCATTTCATCTTCAAGGCTTAAAAGCCTTTTATTCAATGCCTGCAAGCTTTCAAGTGTACAGTGTCACACACCCCTATTGTGTCATACAAAACCGCTTATTTGGTAGCTTTTTTGACGCTTGTTTCTCACGCGTGCGCAGATGAGGTCTGCACATGGCTGATAGAAAATCGTTTTTTTTTTCGTGTTGTCGTTTCCGACGTAACCCGGATGTGACCATACAGAACTGGAGAGCCCTCTCTGTGTGTGAATAGCCGTTCAGTCCGTGCATCTAATGCCTAAATATATCATTTTTGCGCGTTGCTGTGGAGTGAAGTGCTCCCTCTCAGAAGTCTATCTGCACGTCTCCAATAGCTCGTAAAGCGAAAACGAAACGACGGAACATGGTAACATTTCGCTCTCTCCGGTCTTGGGCATCTTTGTTTGAGTGAGCTGAGCTCGCTGCACTGCTAGCTTTGTGCCCTGGCGTGGCTAACTGCGATCTTCATTCGAAATGTAGCTTCTGAGACGAAAAGACCAAAACAATGTCACATTTCGCACCCACGAATGGCCACTTTAAAATAATCTTAGTCTAAGATGCGTGGTTAAACTAAACAAACAGTAAACATATTGTTATTGGTGTCACGCGAGGAACTCAAACCCATTATATGAGCTGGTCAAGATACAATCACGTCCGCGCGAGGTCAGTTCTAAACATTTCGCCTTTGTCTTGATTTGAAGAAAACAACAACATGCTTAAATGTTTGTCTTTTTTTGTGTGTGGAAGCTATTATTGCTTCCTTTTCAATACGACAAGATAACAACTCAATGTCGGAAGCAACTTGCTGCATGGTTTCCCTAAATTGTGCTTGGGAGACGAATTTTTAGGTATGCGACAAACACAACCCCAACAAGACCACTATCACCTAAAATAGCTTGAGTTTGAATAAAGGAGATCAAAACTGTTCAAATTTTGTGAACATGTTAAGAATCAATCCAGGTATCACATTTTAAAGACTAAACAATGAGTTAAAACAAAAAAACACCCTTGTTTCCAATTCAAAACAATGGAATGGCCTGTGATGGTGTATGTGCGAAGCAGCGGCTGTGTTGGGACAAGAGCAAAGAGAAGCATTTTGAGTTGAGAGAAGCATAGAGGACGCCTATGATTCCCTTAAAAGCCATCTCTGCAGTGGGACCCCCGTCTGCCTGTTGTTTGTTTGGCTCCGAGATTCCCCACACAATCGCTGGCTGATGGATTGCTTCCCTGCGTCTCTCTATTCACAGTTCGGCGATTAAAAAAAAAGCTAAAAGCTGGCACCGTATCATTTTCTACAGCATTGTACCAATTGGATGCAACTTGGTCAGCATGTCCCCAAATCCCTCAAAATTAGGTGGAATAGAATGATATAATTGTGCCAATGAGAACACTTTTTGTGTGGTCAAAATTGAATTATCACACTGTGCCTGCGATAAACATAGAAACTCTGCATGAAAATTATCACATTGAAAAAAACAAGGTAACAGAACAGAGGGAATTCCCCTGTGCATTGTATCTAAAAATAGAGCCAGAAAACACATTTCCAACCATTTTTTTCTGAGAGAAGTGCAAACAAACGTGTGTGACGGGATCACATGAAAATAGCGTCATGAGTAATGGCAGTCTGTTGTCACTGTCACTTTGCTTCTTGGGTCCCTTTTCCCCCCTCAGGCTTGTCATCACTGACATGTTGTTTTCTGTGTCCTAGTATTGCTGCTGTGCCTTACTCGTTTGGCAGTCATGATGGACACCCAGCAAGCCATAATGGCACTTCCATTTACAGTTGAGAGGAATAAGGTGGTAAGTGGGATTCAGCTATGGACATTGCCAGTCTACTTTCTCAAGGCAGAACTGTCCTATTCTGCAATCATTTGAAAAACATTGAATTTATAAAGTCCATTTATCTACACTACTTCTACAGTTCACCCTCCATTCTCACTCTGCCCACATTCACCTTTTTTAACTTAATGTTGTGGCCCATGTCAAATGCCATTTTTAGTATTTTATACTCATTGGTCATGTCACGGGCCGCTGAGAAATGGATGGCCGCCATGGTTTGGACACCCCTGATATAAGTTATTGTTAAATCATCTCAGCCGTAAATCTAAAATGTATGATATTTATGTTTTGCATCCTGGGCTCTGTCTCTCATGAAAGGCAATTGACATGTTGGTTTTTAATAATAAGAATAAGAAAACCTTTATTCGTCTCACAATGGAGAAATTCCCAATTTACAGCAGCAAAGTTATGAAAGGAAGAAAGTAGAACAAAAAGTATAGGAGCTGCTGTAAAGGCAGCCACTCTCGCGGCGCCATCTTGAAGTCATAATAACATAATAACAAAGTAATACAACACAAAACACATAAGACAGTCATTCAGTCTTAACCACTTTTCTGCATACTCTTTGTTGTTTGAAGCAGTTATAGATGAAAGAGGAGAGAATCAAAGTGTCCTTTCACCAGTGGATCAGGGACGTCATGCTGAATATGTGCACACGTCTGCTACAAGCTAAGTTTTGAAAGCAAACAAGAAGCTGTCGCGTCCACTGACGAAAAAAGAGATTGGCTCACATCTCCTGTCCCATGTAAATCCGCTTCAATTTCAAGCCGCGACTCCCACTTTCACATACGCATCGGCGCCCTGCGCTGACGCTTCTTTCTTCTCATCGTCTGCTCCACAAGCCATCCATCCATCCAGCCACAGACTGTCCAACAGCACCGATCTTTCCGCTGAACAAAACGGGGCTGTGAAAAACACTGCCCGTTTTAGGCGCCAAAAAACACAAGCGCCCCGGCCAGGGCTGTCTAGCAACGACAGTCAAATGGCATACTACTGCTCAGTTTGTCACTAAGTGCAAGTTTGATAGAAGCGCCCTCAGCTGTGCAGGTGGTGTGTGAGTGTTAAAGAAGCCCACGCGAAACACAGTGCTTCAGTGTGCTTTTTGAGAAGAAAAAGTGTTTTTTTTTTCCTTTAACATGCAGCAAATGGACAACAAATATTGATCGATTAATTGGGGCACGGCTTCTATGAGCGATGTATTTCGGTGCACAGTAAAAAAACAATTTAAAAGTAATGAAACTCCCTCGTGTACAGTGTGCCACATAGCCCGGGGTTTTCTAATTATATGCAAGGATGGTAACAAACAATTGTGTGAAAATGAGTATGGACAGTTAGAAAGACAGGTACCGGGTTTGTCATAAGAGAGCAAATGTTGTCATATGGTTGTCATGACAAATCTTGGATCATTATCGAGAGATCATTATTGTTTTTTTTTGTTTTTTTTTTGTGGACAGGTGTCCTGGGCTGCAGTTCCTGGTTGCAAACTCCAAAAATCGGATTTAAAGCTCAAACGGGGATCCAAGGCATTTGATCACAATCATGCTGCTATGGTCAAATTGGGGATGACCCGGTAAGTCAACACCGAGCAGATGTTTGTTTTAGCAAACACGTCCAGATGCAAAGAAGAAAAAAAAACGTGCTTTGTTTGTTATTTCTAATACCTATTCAACCCATTGCATACCATTTGTGTGATATAAACCGCTGCTGGTTGCTCATGAGTTGAGCAGATTTATTGGGTGAAACATTTGCGGATACACTTCTAAAAATGAACCCAAAAGTGGCCTTACAGCTCATAAACAGGCAAACACAAATCTTTTTTACTTTTATTGGAAGAATTTTTCTCATACTGACATTTCGGTCACAAGTTTTAGTGTTTTTCCTTTGGCAAGGAACTTTTCAACATGTTCAAAAATCCCTTGGGACAAAAAAATAAAATAAAATCCAGGCGAACGTCTAACAAACGTCTGGCGAGCGTTTGGTGAACATTTGCAACCTCGAACGAACCCTGATGAGAATGCAACATTCGTTACCTTTACGAACATTTGCAAATGTTCGCCACTGAGTGGGATAGGAGCTTTCGAGGATGTCTAATTTTTGCCACGAGACGACTTGATTGAGCCTTACGCAACTGATGAAAAGCTGTGTAAATCTAAGCTCCACCACTGCATATCTATTTCCTGTTTGGCTTCCCTAAGTAGTTGGTGTGTCTTTGTGTCCCTATTTTGTTCCTGCATTTTTAGAGTTGACCTATTTCTGACTCAAAATCATATTGCCTTTGTTACTTTACCCTTTAAGATATAGCTCTTATTTTCCCCCTCTTGGCCACATTTAGAGGTATTTCTGTGAGGAAATT